CCTCTCGGCCGTTTTCACTCGTTTCGGCTGATTTTTGGACGAGCGATCATCTCTCGGAATGGTCTCGAAGCGTGGATGCTTTTTCTGGAACGCGGGCGCGCGGAACACTCACGTTGAAGAGAACTTGAATCACCCTTGTGCTGCCCAGGCGAAGTCGCGGCCAAGGTCGCGTCGCTCGACGGCGCCGCGTTCTGGCGCGTCGAGTGGCGCGCGGGGCCCCGCGCGGGCCTCGCGGAGCTCGTCGACGACGCGACGCTCGCGGCCTGCGGCGCCTTCGCGACGCTCGACCGGGCCCGCGCGGAGGTCGACCGGCGCTGCGGCGCCGCGGACGACGGCGCGCGGCCGCGGTCGCCCGCGGCCTGGAGCGCCGGCGACCGCGAGGTCCTCGAGCGCCGCGTCCGCGAGACGGACAAGGACTTCTCCGCCGTCGCCGCGGAGCTCGGCCGGCCCGTGGGCGACGTCCTCGCCTACTACTACGCCGTCCTCGCGCCGGACCCGAGCTACGCGGCCCTCCTCCACAGCGCGCCGGCCGCCCCCGAGACGCCCGTGTAAGGCGCGCGCGCCCCTAGTCAGTCGCCGAAGGTGATCTTCGTGCCCGCGAAGGTCGACGACCGCTCCTTCGCGAGCTTCGCGCGCGCGGCGGCCCAGGAGCCGTGCGCCGCGGCCGCGTCCGGCCGCTCGCGCGCGGGCGCCGCGCGGCGCGCGGCGGGCTCCGGCGCGCGGCGCGGCGCCGCGGGCGCGGGCGGCGCGGGGCCGTTGGCGAGCGCCTCGCCGGCCCGGGGCCGCTTGAGGCCCCGCCGCGCCATCGTCTTCGCGGCCGCGGCGTCGCCGCCCGCCGCGCGCGACCGGAGCTCGCGCCGCTGGCGCTGGCCGACGCGGTTCTTCCGCCGCGGCGCGAGCTCCTCGAGGGGCACGGCGACGTCGGGTTCGGCGTCGCGGGTTTCCGCGGCCGCGCCGCCGTCGAGCGACTCGACGAAGACCGCGCCCGGCGGCGCGCGCGCGGCGCCGCCGCGCGGCCGCGACCGCTTCGCCGCCGCGGCCTCGGCCCGGGCCTCGGCCTCGGCCTCGCGGCGCAGGGCCGGGTCGCGCGCCAGGAGCGCGCGCCGCCGCTCGGCCGTCGCGCGCGCGTCGACCGCGCGCGACGCCTCGGCGACGGGTTTGTGCGCGGCGACGCGCGACGCGCAGGCGTCGGCCGCGACGCGCGCGGCGAGCGCGGCGCCCGGCGCGCCGACGTGCGCGACGCCGCAGCGGCGCAGGACGACGGCGACGACGTCCTCGACGTCCACGGCCTTCATCGCCGCCACGGCGGCCGCGGCGCGCGCGTCGCCCGCGCCGGCGGCCTTGAGCTTGCGGATGGCCCGCGTCACGAGCTGGCCCTTGCTCGTCTTCGCGGCCTTGCGCAGGAGCTTCGTCGACCCGTGCACGAGCCGCTCCGCGGGAGACCGGCGCTCGTCCTTCCGCAGCTTGCCCATCTTGCTCGCCTAACATCAACGTTATGGCATGTTTTAGATGTGA